TGTCTACATGCGGTTAATTTATCCTGCTTTCAAAGATTACCCTTTACAACTGTCCGCAGCTTTAAGCCAGTCTTTTCCATTTAAACTCGCTGTTTAAATGCCGCAGAAGAGAAGCCAGTAAGCGGATAAGGAGCTTTTGGTGGTTTTGTTTAAAATTAATATAATCACTGCATGTGAGAATATTTATTTGATTTTCCTTTCAGATTGTTTCATATATATTGTTTTAGGGTTCGTTTCCTTCTTGTTTGCGTTTATTTTTTCGTTCATCGTTGCCTTGTTGCTCTTTAACAGTCATTTCACTCGATGTTGTAATAACTCAGATTTTGCTTGTGTCCTTACAATTTATTTCAATATACCCTTAGCATATACCTAAAACATAGCGACATTTTGTGAATACGCCGTTTTTGACACACCGCAATGGGTTTCACGCCTTGGGTGGTATATTTCAGTTAAAGGCTGAAACAAGCGAAAAACAAACAAATATATTCTAAAATTAAAACAAATAAATAAGACAGTGTTACACACTAACAATATAAAGAGTGTTTTATTTTCCTAACAAATCAACCAGATGCTTTCTGGTTCTGTAAAACTGGACTGATGATATTTATTTTATTTTCCCTTGGTTTCTGTTGTAATTGGTGTATAGAGCCATAAGAGGGCGGTGTAGACCATAAATCAGAGACATGTCCCGAGGCCCCTCCCAGATTGATAACGTAATGATGTCTTGTTGGGCTGTGACACAAAGAAACACAGAAGCACGGAGAAAAGGCTCGAGCATGATCTGCGCTGAGGATGAAACAGAAGAAAATCGATAACATTTCCTGTCAATATTTGACATAAACGGGACCCGTTTAAAGTCGGTTTCATGCCCTTTTTGGATTATGGCTTCAATTAACAAAAGTCCTGCGGTGATATACTTGTTTTTTGTCCTGCTGGATTTTTATTCGGAAACGGTGTCCGGGCAGCTCTCGTACTCGATATCAGAAGAGGTGAATCGAGGGACTTCTGTAGGAAACATAGCCAAGGATCTAAACCTAGATGTCCATGAGCTGGAGCCTCGCATGTTTCAGATCGTTAGCGGATCAAAGAGAAAATATTTCGAGGTAAATCTAAAGACGGGCGTTCTCTTTGTCAGTGATAGGATAGACAGAGAGGAGCTCTGTGGAAAGGCCACGAAATGCACACAGAGCGTGGAGGCTGTGATAAATGCCCCACTCAAGCTATATCGCTTAGAAATAAATATTCTAGATGTTAATGATAATTATCCAGCTTTCAGTACTGACTCGCAAAGTATTGAAATAGCAGAAATCACATTACCCGGGACTAAATTTCTTGTATTGTCAGCCTTTGATGCCGATGTGGGGAAAAATGGCATCAGTATGTACAAGTTAAGTGCAAATGAACACTTTTCATTAGCAGTGAATAAAGGAGAGAGCGTATCTGCTGAACTAGTCCTCCAGAAACCTTTAGACCGAGAAAAACAACCAGTAATAAGACTCACGCTGACTGCTGTAGACGGCGGAACACCACCGAAATCCGGAACCTCACAGTTAATAATCAATATCTTAGACAATAATGATAACGTCCCAATATTTACCAAACCACTGTATAAAACAAGTGTCACTGAAAACACGCCGCCAGGCACATCAGTGATAACTGTGACGGCGACGGACAGTGATGAAGGGCCAAACGGGGAAATTTCATATTCACTAAGCAGCAAGGACCAAGACCATGTTCTCAATATATTTCAAATTGATGAGTACACGGGATTATTGACAGTCAAGGGGAAGATTGACTTTGAAGAGCACCCGGCTTTTGAAATCCGCGTGCAAGCTTCTGATAAAGGCTCTCCTCAAATGACAGCACAGTGCAAAGTATTAATAGAAGTAGTGGATTTAAATGACAATAGCCCTGAAATATCTGTAACCACCCTCAGTAACACTGTAAAAGAGGATGCAAAAATAGGTACTGCTATTGCACTTGTGTCAGTTGTGGACAGAGATGGGGGTAAAAACGGAATAGTCCACTGTGATATTAAAAGTGAAAGCCCCTTTAAGTTACAAACGAATTATAAAAATTACTACTCCTTGGTAGTAGATGGTCAGCTAGACAGAGAGAGTCATTCTCAATATAATATCACTATCACAGCTAAAGACGATGGAATCCCAGCTCTCACAAGTACGAAGGATTTTAATGTTTATGTTTCAGATGTCAATGACAACCCCCCTAAGTTTTCAGACACTGTGTTCAATGTATATTTAAAAGAAAACAGTCCACTGGGAGCTACTCTGCAACGAGTATCTGCACTGGATGTAGATATTGATCAAAATGGACAGGTAAGCTATTCCATTGTTGAGAGTAAAAGTAACTCCTTGCCAATCTCGACAATGGTAAATGTAAACTCTAAGACTGGAGATATAATCAGTCTGCAGTCTTTTAACTATGAGGAGTTAAAAACTTTCCAGTTTGAAGTTCAGGCCACAGACTCTGGTGTTCCTCC